TCCGATTTGGAGTGTTAGTTTAGATCATTTTTATTCTCTGTGTATACAAGCAGAAGTTCGCTTAACTTTTGTGTGCCAGTCCTGCCAGCAGCCGGCGGCCGTGGGTTTTTGTGTGTGTTGTTTTGTTTCGAGTTGTATTTGGTTACGATGCTCACAAAATTGCACTTGAAATTTATCCCCGAGCCTTATTAGTTATTTACGCAGCAGGCGCACTCGCCGTAATGTGTGAGTGTTTGTGTGCGAATGAGGGGGGGGTCTGTGCAAATGCCCTAACGGCATTTTCGGTGCAAGCCCAAAGACCACCCCCAACCGGCCTGCCGCTCAACACCACCCATTGCAGATTTATAGCCTGCAGCAGTTTTTAGAGCTCGTCCTTTGTTTCGCCCTGCGTTTTGTTTATTTGGTTTTGCAATTGTTAAAAGTTTATGTCGTTTTTGTTGCGGCTGTTGCATTTCGCACACACAGTTTCCACTTGGACTCGGCGAACAACAAGTTTTTGCTTTTGTTTTTGGTTTTATTCGGGGGCGGGTAGGAGTGGCACTGCCAGAAATATACAAAATACTAGAAACAAAACAAACAACAGTCTGAAACAAAAACGGTGGTAGTTTTTGGGTTGCGCCAGTTGCGATTTTGTCGCCGGGATTTCTTCCAGTTATTTTTTGGCAACGTTGCTTAATTAAACGTGAACTATTGCCAGATGGAGTTTAAATATTGGGGAATTTCGTTTTCCGGATTTGATTGAAATGTTGAAGGAATACTAAAAAGGGTAAGGGTATTAGGAGTCCCTCGATGTGTATAGTTGGGAGTTTCAATTAAACAAAAATATTTATATAAATAATATTTCTGATGGGTCAGAGAGTACTTCCCCTCAGCAAATTATAATCACAAAGCGAGGCATATTATTTTAGCCCAACTTTCTTAATAATTTCCAGCTTACTGCAGTTTAATTGCTAAAATTGAACACAAGCTCTCTCCTTTCTGCCTGCGGCTTTTGAAGTTCCTCGAACTTGTGCATTAATACCAATTTGCACTTGTCAATCAAGGCAACACTCCGCAGCCAGCAGAAACCTACAAAACTTCTAATGAGCCTAATTATTTCAACTATTTAGCCAAATACACAACATCTTGCGGCGGCTCCGGGGGGAACAGTGGGGAACAGCGACTGGGGAAAGCATTCCAATGCTTGCCAAATTTTGCTAATGATAAATAAATTATGCGGCAGCAGCCGCACAAAATGCCAAGCTCCGGTCCGCACCGACCCACCGACCCACCTCCCCAGAAACCACAAGCAGAAAACAAATAAACTCGCTTCGCAATGCCAAAAGATAAGTATACGCCCTGTGGTCCCTGTCCCCTGTTCCGAAGACATTAAAGCCCCGAGATTTTCGGGGAGGTTCGAGGACTCGTGAAGCGGGGTGAATGGTATCGCATTACCAAAGGCAAGCGCACATGCGTTAATAAACAAAATCTGTTGCTAATGTACAAAATAAGTTAATTATGGCAACACGCAAATGCGAAAATGCGAGGCGAAAATGCCAAATGCTCTGATGCTGGGGACAACTTTTGCAGCTTTTCGAAAACTCTCACTGACACTCTCGGTTTTTCGGGGTCGCAGATACATATATTATATATATCCTGGGGCGTGGAAATCGCCGGGGGCTTTAATAGTAAGAGGTGCACTTGCCCTGCACTCTCCTTTGTTCTTTGTGCGCGATAATTGCATTTTATGGCTGTGGCAAGCAAACAAATAAACAAATAGAACGCACATACACACACTCGGACGGGATATATGGCAGCCATGGCGCAGAAACAAATAATTACAAATTGCATTAATAATATACAAACACAAGCGGCGGCTCTAAGCCTGCCCTCGGCGAAGGCCCCCGATTCGATTTACCTTTTGGCAATTTTTGCGTGACTGGCATAATTGCTCGGTGGCCGAAATCGGTGGGCACTGCCACGCCCATTCATATGTATATATAATGCCGCTAGCATTTACACAAATATCTGAGAGCAAAACCACATGAAATTTACATATTTTATTTGTAATTTGTTTGCAGCCCGTCAATATTATTTAGCAATTAATATTTCAATGATAGCAAAAACATAAATATAGTAAATGTGGTTTTCTGTCCGAGAGGGCATGCACACTGTGATTTAACAAGAATATCACTCATTATCTTTAGGAGGAATATAAATCTTTAATAAACAGAGTTACTAATATTGTCTCTGCCATAGAATACCCAATTTTAGTACTAATAACTGCCAGTAAAATTGAAAATCAAAATCAATTGTCCTGCGTAACACTGAGTATTTTATAGTCGTCATAAAGGTCATTGAATACCACTGCCAATGTATCAATTTGGCCAGCAAAATGTCATATTTTTATTAGATGCATTCGAGCGAATGTCAAAATTATAGTTGAATTGCATTTTGTTGTTATTAGTGAGCAAATGGCGAAATTGATTACGAATGCGTGTGCTTATGGGATTTATGGGAATGTGTCCATGATTATTATGCACTTTTGGTGGAGTACGAGGGCTTACCTACACACACACAGTCAGCGGACCATGAAAACCCCAGTGCCAGTGCCAGTTTCCGAAAGGCGGGAAAATCAAATCGAATTTATTGCTAATCCGCACAGCTTCCAATGCCCTGATTTATGGGCGCTCTTCTTTCGGGGGAAGGTTCGTTGTCGATCAGAACAATGGTAGCAGCCCATTTCGAGTTCTAATTCACTTTTACTAATACACCACTTTGCCGCTAACCCCAGCCCATTAACCCGACCCCATCCATTAGCAACGCGTCTAATAAAGCGCTGATGCCTCGGAATCTGGTTCCGATTTCGCTTCCGAATCCGCCGATGCACTTCCCCGCCTGCAATCTCTGGAATGGGGAGAGGAGAGCATTCGACTGGAGTGCCTAGTGGGGAGACCTAAAGGGTCGCGGATCACGGCGCACAAATCTCTACGTCGGCGCTCTTTTCATGGCAACCCCTCCGCAGTAGCCGAAAAATGCACTCTCCAAATGGAGATGCTGTAGTTTTGGACTTAAAGTCACAAATATGTATATATTTTATACGAAAATAAAATCAACTTAGAGCGAAGAAGCATTTTAAATCAGAAAGATCAATAATTTATTATTATAAAATGTATATTTTTCTATATTTTTAAATTGTTTAAATTTATTTTCATGTGACTCAACTCAACAGAAAAGAAAATAATGCCTTTATATGTACCATATATCGGTCTAAGCGTCATACTAAATAATTTTAAAAATTGTGTAAAGCCAACTTCTTAATTATTCCCCTCAAAATAAAGCCTCAAAATATCTTAACTTCACTACAAATACACTCTTTAAATACTTTTCATAACTGAAAGCTAGCTCATGCAACTAATTCCTTTATTTATTTATTTAAGCATTAAAAATTCTAAAATGTGGCCTAAAACAGCAGCCAGAACAGCATCACCGATTGCAGTCGAGGGAATGCCACCGATGAAATGCGCTGCTTAAGCTGTTCATTAGCAGCCGAGTAATGGAGCAACAGCCTGACACAGATTTGCTTTGGCAAGTGCCGACGGCTCCTCCTCCGATCCTGCGGTCCTGCTCTCGTCCTTTAGTCGTCCTCCAGTGGCAATGGATGCCATTCTATTCAGGTCGCCCCCGTTCGATTCGATTCCATTCGATTCGATTCTCAGGGCCCATAGTGTTCCGTTTTGTGGCCATGGCGACGACACGGCAGCCGGAGGGGTCATTAAAAAGTTTTTACAAGCACCCTGAATCGGCATTAGCGTCGCTGCCAGAGGAGGATGAAGCGGCGTGGAGTGGAGTGGAGCGGAGTCTAGTGGCGGCGGGTGGAGTGTGTTGTGTGTGCGGATCTGATTCCGCTGCTGATTGTCATTGACAGCCAGGCGAGTGGATCCCATACCCGCACCCTTATCGGTGTATCGGTGCCCCTTTACCCCTTTCGCCCGCCGAATTGACACCTCGCCACCGCTTAGATATCGCTGCTAAACTGGCTGTCAATCCTTTTTATTGCCCAGCACTCTGCCACTCTTCGCACTCAGCTCCACTCTCTCCACACTCTCCAGATCTTTGCCACTTCGTCAATCAATTGTGCCCCTTTTATTTGTATTTTATTATGCCAAAGTGTTGTTCCGAATGTCATTTCAAGTATCGATTGTCTGTGTCTACACTCTGAGAAAGAACTAATTATATTTCGAAGAACCAAAACGGGAAAATTTTTGTGAAAAAATAATTAAATCTCTTTGTATTTTAGGAATAAAAAAACTCTTAAAGATTTTTCAGTTTTCTTTCAATATTTTATATATCAAAACATATTTATTATTACTTGTAACCATTCTAAATCCTCTGTGTACATCTGTGGCTGTTTTTGGTTCTCTTCTAATTCCCAATTTCTGTACAGCGTGGGTTAAAACTAGAGTTTGGAGTCACATTTGGAGGCACTTAATTGAGCAGCCGCATCGACGGACTTGGAAAAAAAAAAAACTGAAGGAGATGTGGAGCAGTCAATTGAGTTAGGGGTTGAGTGTGGTTGACAGTGTTGTTGGTCCTGCCTCCAAAATGCCCAGATACCACTTGAAAAGGGATGACAGCCCGGGAAAGAGCTGCTGAGTGGTAGAAACCCGACAAATACTTCATTAAATTGAACAAATGAAACTCTTAAAGTGCGAGCCAATAGTATCGAATTTGTTGGCTTGATAAATGGTTGAGAACTGAAAGTTAGGCTTGTGATCTTAGCTTTAGTATATTTATGTATCTGTAAAAACTACCTTTTCTGATTAATTACATCTGCTAAACACCTGTCTTTAAGATCTGATCAATCATTTTGATGACCCAAAATTGAAACATATTTGCAAGCGTATTTGCCATATGTTTGATGGCTTTTCAACTCGAAAACTTTGATGTTTGCTGCTCGGTAAACATTATCATTGGCATTAAAATTAGACTAAACAAATCGAGGGGAGTGGTGGACTTACCCATGCTCAGTAGCAGAACGGCAAGGAGCAGCAGCAGGAATCCGGTTGGAGTTATCCGGCAGTCTGGCAGTCTTCTCCGGCTCTGCCGATGTTGGTGTCGCATCTTGTGGATGCCTCTGCCTCTGGCTCCGCCCGAGGCTTCATCTTCGGCGGCTGACAAATCTCCGCGGAGCTGCAGTTCCAGCATTTCGAGGGGCGGGCAAATGTCTTGCATTTGCGGCGGCCAAGACAATTTAATAAACACTTCAGCTTCGCACGCCGCACAGTCTGTTTTGATATTTTTTAGGGGTTGTGTGAGGGGGAGATGGAGCAATGGGGATAGGTCTTGGGGGAAATATGCAAATTATTTATGCCCGACTGGCAGCGGTTTTGGGTTCTATTTGCGCCTTGGCAAATTGGCCCATAAACAAAGTGTCTGTCTGGTCGCTGCCTGGGGAAGAGCGCGCTAATAAGCAGCCGGATAATTAATATTTTCCGCACTCCGCTCTCTTTTCTCACTTTCACTCAAGCTGGCCTTCGATTGGCACTCGACGAATTTGCACATTTTGCTGATTGTTTATACATTTCAATTTCCGCCCATTAATTGCCGGCCGACGTTTTCCACTGATCTTTTGGCTGGCCTCTTCTGTTTTGGCCCAGTTTAGACGAAGTCCATTTGGTGTTAAACGGCTCCTGTGTCCAGCTGTTTTCCGCTTTGCCCCGGAAGTGCTCTGCAAGGCGGAATGAATAATAACAAACACGCGTTAGTTGTTGTGCAATTAAATATAGGCCAGCAGCTGTGCCCCGCCGAACCGCTTGTATTTGGCATGTAAACAACGGCGCGCACACAACCGATACGAAACCCGAAATGAAACCAGACTCGTGCTATACACTCCCCGGGAGCGACAATCCGCGCCTACGACAAGTTGACAGACGACTGAGGAGTCCTAAGGACGTCCCCAAGAACACACCCCGAAAGACAAGGCGCGCTGTCGCTTCCAAAATTAGCACGCTGGAAGTGCCGGCGGCAACATGTTGCGGGGGCTGCTGGAAAGCGAGCAACATGTTGCGGGAAAACATGGAATCGAAAATGTATATGTATCTATATATGATGATGCTGGGTTTTGAAATTATTTAAAAAATAATAAACAACAAAGATTAAAAACATTTCGTAAAAGTAAAATTATTTTATAAATTTTTTGTCTTAAATAATCTTAAAATAGTAAATAAAAATAATTATTTTAAATCAAATCATAAGCTTTAGATAACACCCATTTGTCCTGCATTATTCCTTTGACTTGGTCGTATACGATTTCCTTGGAAAATACCATCCTCTGTAGCCATGTTTTCCCCCTTTCCACCAGCAGCTGCACAGGGGAAAGCCAATATGATAAACAATAACAAATCATCTAAACACAAAAACCGGCTAGCAAACAAACCAAAAAGCAGAGTTTAATTTAACGAGAACAAAGTGAGTTCTTTGTGAGTTCTCAGAGTTTTTGTCCCTGCTAATGAGGCTGTGCACAAGTGGCAGGCCGGCCCTTCAGCCCCGTGTATGTTACTCCTCGCATATAAGTACGAAGTATGTGCTTAACCCTTTCAGGGCGACTGGAGGATGCGGCCACTTAACCCGTTACGGCTACTGTTGGCTCTCCGCCCTGCGGTCGCTGCTCTGGCGTTTTGTTTATTTAAGTTGCAATTACTTTTTGCCACCCCCGCCGCCGCCGCCGCCGCCTTATGCATGCAACAAATGTTGCGCCATTCAATTTCCCGTGTTTTGTAAGCATTCAGCGAGTGTGTGTGTGTGAGTGCGAAGGTTGCCCCTCTCTTCAAAAGGGGAAGCACAACTAGATCCACTCAAGTGCAATGACATCATGGCAAGCATTCATAATGCTCATTAGCCAGCCCCCTTCGGAAGTGTTCCCTAACCCGTAACCCGTTCGCCGGTGGCCATGTCAAAATGCCATTTTTATGTGGCACACGCGCTGCACTGTTTCTGGCAGCTTATCGAAGCCGTCTTTATTTCCACAACGACTTGCCTGCCACACTGGGAAAATCTTTTTTATCTAGGGATATATTCAAGCAATGCAAATATAAAATGGAATCTAATCTTTGCAGGTTGAAATTATGTAATTTTTTATCATATATTTATAGGAATATGGTACAAATCCCTTAGCTATATGGTATTCTTCCCATTATTATTTTATTAATCCAAATAAGACTCACTTGTCATTTAATTTTCTACGAAATAGAGCTTGTGTTTCATAATTGAAGCTTCAGGGGATTTTTCATTCAAGCCGAAGGAGACCTCTAAATATACATATAAATGTACATATATTCATAATCTATATTGCAGAGTGCAGTTCCAACTTCTGATTAAACCAATTTAGTTAAAACCAATCAAACTTGTCTTGAATCTAAGGTTTTCCTTCCTGTTATATATTTTATTATCTTTATTTTCATTTTCTAAGTGCACCCACTCACCACTTGGTTTTTATGGCCAGCATGCAGCACACCTCGATTAATGCATATATATATATAGTATGGCTGGATCCGAATGGAGCTATATGCCACAACAACATGCCCATGCACTTAGCAGTTTTATGGTATTGTATGTCTCCATGTCGAGGGAACTCTACTTCCACTGCCACGGCCACTTCCAACCCCTTGACAAACGCAACACGTGCGATTTGAGAATTTTATAAAAGTGTTTATTGGCCTCCTCAAGATACCCCTCTGCTCCAATTTCTCCCCCTGCAACGGGGCAGCTCGCTGACATTGACGACGCTGACAAGTTTTTAGTGCTCCAATGAAAATTAAAACACATAAAAATGGCTGAGAAACCGCACAGTTAAATGGGCGGATTGGCGGCTGCTCGAAGGGAGGTACATGCTCCTCCTGAGAACCATATGGGTGTGTATTATATTGTTATGTTGCGTCTGCCGAGAGCAATAAACGATACATGGTGTTTACGGCGGACTCAAGGCCGTGTACTCGAACCCCGGTTAAAATATCCGCAGGGAAAAGCGATTAAGACACTTGTCTAATTAATTGACAATAAAAGGATCTAGTTGCGATAAAAAAATTCTTGTTTTAAATATATTTGTCTCAAAAGGAAAATTCTGTTATTAAAAAACCAATGAATATCCTTGATAGTTTGGGCCCGTATCTGAGTTCCGTGTCACTTTTGCTGGCAGCTCTCATCTCGGTCTCATTGCCATTGCACACATTGTTGCTCTATTTAAAGCGGACTCGCACTTGCAATCTAGCACCTTGTCGGTCCATTGTGGCAGACAATTTGGTATTCGATGTAGCTACGAGTAGTTCGTAGTTGTAGCAACGAGCACGCGATGACATCGCACCACAGAGAGACCTGTCTGAATCGTCCTTCGTCCTGCCATTCGGCGCCCTGGGTCCTTTTGTCAAACCGAAAAATGCAAATTTTCTTTGACATGGCCAAGTACGAGATAATAATTCCCTCACACATGCCAACTGTCTAGTGGAGATGTTCTGCACTGTGCAAAAATAGTTACACGTTGGTAAAATACTGAAGGGAATTTTAAAATGAATAAAATAGTGCTAGACTAAGCACAAAAATAACATTCGCTATATTAAAATATTAACAATAATTAAACCTCTAAAACTTGGCCAAGCTTATTATTGTTTATTTCAGTGTTCTCTAGTCTTTTTTCCATCATCTAACTTTATAGAACTCTGACAATTTCCGGTTGCTGAGGCAGTACCTTTGTCTCTTCGGCTTAAAAGATAAATTTATGCGTCACCTTGGTACCAATTAAAGACCAACTAGTGCTGAGAACCGAACGCTTTTTACTGTAACAATTAGATGATTGTTGGCCCGGCATTTTGGGGCAAACAACGTATTGGTAATGGCCATAATATGTAATGCAGCACAGTCCCCGCAGATACAAATGTATCTCGGAATGCATCCTTGGCATGTTAATCGATTGGCCCGCTGGCCTAAGTGCGATTTCGCTTTGATTAGCGTTGCACAATTATACGCTGGCTGTAATCGAATGCAGCTGCAGCTGCATCTGCCGGATGCATTTCTCGCACAGAGAGGCCGAATCAGAATCCGAATTAGATGCCAGTTGAACAATGAGGCACTCGCAGGCGGAATGCAAATGTGACATGCTTCCACCCATCACGCTCTTGGCCCTTTCTGGAATTGCAGCAAATTTTCCAGTTCGCACAGAAAACAAATCTTTGATCGCTTGAATTTTAATTATAATATCACAATACAAAATAAAATACAAAAATAATATTTTTAAGATCAACAATATTCATACAAAAAAAAATGTATTAACCACACTCCACCACTGAATAATATTCAGTTAAAGTTGAAATTGATTTTGTTTGTGTATGCGGTTAATCGTCTGGCTTTGTTGTTTGTTTCAATAAATAAATTAACCATCAGAGATCAACGAAGGATTGGCCAGGGGGGACTTATGGCAGAATAAAGGCTATATGCAAATATATTATGGCATCATAAAGAGGGCAACATTTTTTAATTATGCCCACTTTTAATGGTTTTAATTGCAGTTAAAGCGCTGCAAAGTAGGCTTTAATGGAAAATGGCAAACAGTCGGAAAAAAGCGGGGGAAATGGAAATGCTTAAAAAATTGAATATGTTGTTGGGCAAACAACGAACGGCGGATATTCAGGTTGTGTTAAATGTTGATTTATGGCCAGGAAGAGCAGCGCCCACTGGACCGACTGGCGAATTAAATTTCCATATTCATGTGAACTATCATCATCAAGCAACCGTTGTCTATACAACCGAGTTTCCTTTTCATCGGCCCGAAGCACCACAAGAATTCCATCAGCTAAAGGCACCCTCATACTTCTCAAGACTGACTCAAAACCGTAACCAAACCAATTGATGCAGAGAAGGAAATATTGGGAAATAAATACTATTCACTGAAAAATTTACTGTGATAATGATTTAACACTTTTAAAATTTATTTTTATGACACTCTCAGAAGTCTTAAAAATCTGAGATTAATCCATAAATAAATGATCATGATTTAAAGACATCATTCCTCTATAGTTCAGAATCTAAACAAACCTTTTTAGTTTCAAATTATCCCTGGGGTTATAATCATTCAAAATATCTTAAGGAAAACTCCCAATTGACCTTGATCTTTACTCCAATTATTCTCTGTGCACTTTCCCGGGCTCCCGTGACTATTTTTGGACACTGCCTGCTATTTTGCATGGAAGGCATAATAATCATTGACCTTTTTATGGCTGCCTCACGCGCCTTTTAATAAATTGAAAGCGCCGAAAATGTTTACTTCCTACAATTGGTCGGGGTCGGGGTTTGGGGGCTCCAGCGAACAAAGGGAAAAATCAATGTTCCAATAAGTCAGCGGCAATAACCATTCAAGATGTCGTCATTTCCCACCTCCCCGGACTGGGGAACTTTGAGGAATTTTTGAGTGAAGCCCGAAGAGGAGGATACAATTGAATTTCAGTGTTGGCAATTTAATTTCTTTTGTTGTCAGCGGCATAAACATTGATGGAAGGGCGCCGGGAAGAGGAAGCGGCGACGCGGTGGGGGCAAGGGGGATGCTGCCACGCCCACACTTTATGTTACTGTTATTGTTGCTGGCATTTCGTTGACAGCAGGACAATGGCAAAAACACGCTGGGATATCCGGCATACAAAATTAAACAAACAATGACAAGACAAGAACTCGGCCGGGAAACTG